TTTGAACTCTTGACATTAAGAAGACAAAGTCTTTACAAGACAAGAAGTACCATTGGACATCTTTAGTCCTAGGCTCGAGGACTAAAATAAAATCATACATGCGGCAGAAAAAAGAATGGCATAAGTTAGATAAGGATTGGACAAGCCATATATGAACCTTACCTTTAAAGACAAATCAAAATTGTAGTAAAAATAATGAAAGTAAGCATACATAATAGCATTGTGAGGGTGCGTGCGTGCATGCATAAAAAATGTATATGTAACTATCTGTGCAGATGAATGTATCAAAAATTTATGATCATGTTGTCTAAAAACTGTCATGTAATATCTGTACAAAAATTCTCGGGTTTGTCTGCCATTGAGCAATAAATGCTTCCACTACAATCTCATGTTAACGTCTGAATCATTAAGATAAACAGAATACTAGTCAATGAATAAGAATTGCAGTTTTCTCGAGTTTCAAGCAGACTATGGATGAAATTCAGAGCCTTGTTTAGAAGATTTGAAATAACCAGGTGGAACGAGTTACTCGAAATCCATCCATGATAGACTAATCACACAAGGACTGTAGTTGGATATAATGCCTAGCCTAGCTCTAGTCTATCCTCACGTTCATCCCCCAACCCAACTCTAATGACCAATTCTTTCACATGCTTATGAGTCCTAGCCCATATGCGTTCATTTCAAATATTTCAATCTAAATGTTACCTCGAAGAATCAGTTTCAAACTGTAAAATCAATGCTTAAACAGATTTACTAAGAAAAACTAATGAGTACTGAGACCCTAAACTATTCATCCACTGAACGAATTGTTGAAATCATCAAAATAAAGGAAACCACTGAGAAAACATTACACTAGCCAGCTCAGTACTTCTCCTTCAAGTAAAACAAAAGGGGTAAATTACCGTGGAAGGATACATAAAGAAATAAAACTAAATGACAAAATGTATAGCGTAAATTGTGAAAATCAAGATAATAACCTTATCTTTGACGCCAATAATACGGTTGAAGACAATAGCTCGATTTCCTCCATCAACATTGTAGAGACTGTTAGCAGCTCCGTATATGCCAAGCCCAGCAATTGCTCCAAACTTGATCAAAGCAGAAGCCGCACCACCACCCGGAACATTTGGAATCCTCACGTTCTTGAAATTCATTTTCCCCAATTTCTGAGAGTTACACAGCCAAAGAATGAGAGAGAGAGAGAAGAAGAAGATGAAGATCGTGTACCTGACGGAAGCCGATCACCAGCGAAAAAATGAGAGAGACAGAGAGCAGAGACAGAGAAAGAAAAGGGTTTATGAGAGAGCTTGGGGAAGGGGTTAGGGTTTTAGGGGCATAATGGGTTTTTTAAATTAATTTCTTATTCATTTTTCTATTTATTTTTTCGTTTTGTAAACTGTTGATCTGGGATGTACGTAATGGGCCAGGGCCTGGCCTTGTTTGCTATATATTGAGGCCCAGCTACCGTACATAGTATTGGTCCTGTACTATATTGTACACAGTAAATTAGAAAAGCGTACTCTAAATTAGATTTAATTATAAAAAGATATACAGAAAAAAATGTAAAGTAAAGAAATTATTAATTTTAGATCTTAATTGTGTACAAGTATATAATTTGAAATTTTAAATTTTTCTTTGGCATTTGTATCCTCCCTTAAATCATGCGATTATTTTTGAAAACTATTTTTTTTTTCAAATTATATTTATGTATTAAAAATCTCCTAATTTAATGAAAGATTTGACCTTCCATTTATTTTGGGAATAAATCAGTTGATTTGAATTTTAAATTTTTCAACAATATCATTTGTTGTCTTCTTCTTCTTCGGCCTGGAAGCAATTTATCAATACATGTCCGAAACATTTATTTTCATGTTTATCATTCAATCTAAACAATTATAAGGTTTGAATTTATGATTCTATTAGATTTATGTATGTCATTTTAAAGATAATTATATTATTTTTGAGTAATGCTATTGAGACATAATTTGATGACATAATGAGTTGTCACCAATGATATGATATTAAATTCATTAATGCTACAATGGGACCCATCATTAAATGCATTTCACTATCATTTCATTGGTGACAACTCATTATGTTTCTAAATTGTGTCCATAAATTATGTCCTAATAACATTAGTGATTATTTTTTTATATGCGAACATCATAACCAAAGTTCATCCTATATATACATTTACAATGTAACAATAATATTGTAAAATTTAACTTATACAGTCCAGCTCTATTTTGAATTTGTTACCACATCTACAAAATTACTGAACAATGTCTATATTATAGTGTTACACTCAATATTATCAGAATCGGACTGAGCATCAAACCGGCAAAAAGATCGGATCAATGGTTCAATCGTTGGGTCAACTAGTCGAACCGGAAGTATAATTAAAAATTATAAAACATAAGTAATTTACCTTAAAAAATATAAAATATTTTCACTCTAATTTATTTATTCTATTTTCTATCAAATATTCTTTGGAACAAATTAGAAAGGGGCAAGAGAGTAAATAAGGCAAAAAAAGAAAACTCCAAAAACTATTTGAGAAAAGGGACCCAACAACTATGGTGTACACTATACTCTCTCATCTTCCGTGTCGTTGCAAAAGATGTGAGAAAGAGTGAAGAGGAGAAGAGAAGAGAAGAAATGAGGTGATCCCTTTATGAGAGAGAGACTTCCCATTCAAGAAGTAAGGATAAATCAGTTGCCTGAGCCATCTCCACTCAAGAGGAAAATCGCCTGAGCCGTCACAACTCAAGAGAGGAGATCACCTGAGCGTTCGCCGGGGCCATCGCCACTCGCTTGAGTTGTAGCTTTGGGAGGACCGCTGCTTGGAGGATCGACTGGAATTGAATCAGATTAGGGCAAAAATGCCCTAAAAAAGAGAGATTTTTTTCAATACTGTCTTCCTTTATGTAAATCTTCGCATGAGAGAACCGTTAGCTCCTTCATATGATAACATTGCTCCACCAGAAACCATCTCCTCTCTCCCTCTCCCTCTCCCTCTCCCCAAGGTTTTAGCAAATTGGGTATATGTTCAATCAAATCGCCAGTTCACCGGTTTTCATAAAAATCGCCCAGTTTAATGGTTTAAAAACACTCCCCATGCCTATACAGTCCAACTCAAGAATCGAATCAGTCTAGGCTCCGATTCACTCTTTAATCGGTTTGACCGGCTGGTCCGATCTAATTCTGATAACACTAATTACATTGTATTGTTACACTATCTTTGTTATACTATACGAAAAATACGGACAAATTTATATCTACAATGGCAGACCAGTAGTATTTTCCTTTCAAATGCGAAACCCTGTGGATATTCAGAGGACGATTTAGGGCTTCTCGCCGAGGAAGATGAAACAGTTTTTAGATAGGAAGAAGAAATGTTAACTTTGGTGAATTAATGTTCTTAAAAATCAGTGGTTAAACCTTATCACTGTGTACCTAATTATTTTTAAGATATATTCTTGAAGCTGTAATTAATTTTCAGATATATTCCTAAAACCGTTTTTAAGAAAGTAATGTTCTTAAAATCTAATGATTAAGCCTGTGTACATAATTAATGTTAAGATATATTCTTAAAACCGTTTTTTAAGAAAGTAAATATTAGAAAATGGATAGTTAAAGTCTTTGTATCTCAGCAATATACTTCTTCACAACACATTTTTTTTTTGTATACTTTTTTATAATTATGTTTAATTTAGTGTACCGACTTCTAAAAGACCCTATTATATAAATGTGGGGGACATTAAAAAGCACCACACTTTCTTATCTTTTTTCTTTTCCTCAATGATACTGATGATTATGGGTGTCTATGGTCCGGACCGGGCTAGGCCCGCTAAATTCTTTTCGGGCTGAGCCTGGGTAGTATAGGCCCAAGCCCTTACCCAAGTGAGTTATCGAACGGATCGGGCCGAACTTCGGGTAGGGGTAGGCTATCTGCAGGCCACAGCCCAACCCGTGGCCCTATTAAACGGGCTTGTGGGCAGGCTTGTGGGCGGGACTGTGTTGTGGGGCTTTTTTATATATATTTTTATTTAAAAATAATGAATATTTTTGCATCTTAATATTTGTGTAAATTATATTTTTGAATCAAAAGTAAATTTAAAATGGATAAAAATAAAATAATGAACTACATCTAATAAAATAAATAAATCTCAACTATGTTGACACGGACATCTACTAACTTATCTATCATTTGTATTACTCTACCATTTAAAACTTATATGCTTAATACACGGAAAAAAAATAATACATTATTTATAATATCTAAATTTTTAAAACTTCAAATTTCGATATTGAGAGACTTATTTCAAAGTTTCAAATTTAATGGTCTAAAAGTATAATTTTTTTTCAAAAAAAAGTAGGTAGGTTGGGCTGGGCTTGACGGACAGGGTTTTGGGCCGAGTAATGTGTTTAGGGACAAATTCAAGACCTCTTTTAAGAGATATTGGACTCGGGCTTGGACGGGCCAACTATCGGGTCTATCGGACTTCGGGCCAGGTAATGAAACCCGTGAATAACCTGGCTCATAGACATCCCTACTTATGATCGCTAATGAGCCAATTTGTCGCCCAGTGAGCCACTCAGTTACATGCACAGCCAATTCTCGGTGGAGTTCCTCAACCAAGTGGGCGATTTCTTCACAAAACCTAGTGACACTGATGACCGACGAATTGAAACAACGAATGAGTGAAAATGTTTCTCTAGCTTGTCCTCAAAGGTGCTCGTGGTTGGTCATAGCATACCAAGCCCAAATACCCATTGGAGCATACCAACCTATGCTTCAAAGAACAAAGAACCACTGAATTTGTATTATTAATGAGTTATTACAACTCTAGGCACAATTCACATATGCAACACGACACTAGTTGCAGAATTTTACTAGATTGGAATTTAACTCTAAAAAATCGATACAAACCCGGCAAAATGATATAAACTAAGATGAACACGAGTACATACAACATAAATCAGACTACAAATGAAATATAAGCACTATTAAACTTAATACAACATAACTTAATGTTGGTCCTAGTCGTTATATGTTCTGAGAGCTTTTGTCGTCGATTCAACCCATTGGCTGGCTCCCAGCAATTCCCAATCTTGCTTCAACGGTCCATAGGCTTAAGCTTATGTTCTATACAGTACCAAGTTGATTATTATTAAAGCATGTGTCCTGTTGTCTACTAGGGCAGTATGGAGCACAACCTATGGAGCTTCATTTTCAAAATGCAATATAATACACCCAAATGCTGATCAAAATACCAGTTAGGCCGGGCCATTAACAAACAAGACAACTCATTCTTAGCAAAGGGGTCACCACCATGGTAACCTGAACTCCTTAGATAACGACTTTTGACAGCCACACAGTGAAAACGTAATAGAGGAGATCTGCATCCAATAAACATTGTCCTAATACAATTGAAACACTGCTAATCAATAGCACCAAGTATAGTGGAGCCAAGATAGAGGAGCCTCAATCATGTTAAGAAGTGCTAAAAATCAGGAAAGAAAAAGATAAACACATGATGGCAGTAACAGAGATTCATATCCTACATAAAGATACAACATTTAACCACAAAATGAAAAGTAATGAACAGAAATAGTAATCTTTACAAAGTTGTGACACATAAACTGTAGGAAGAATCATATAAGTAGATTTAAATTCCATCAGCACCTTGTTTTCTTACTCTTTCTAACACAAACAAATCAAACAGGAAAAAGAAAATGACAGGGCTACTTCTTCAAGCCTCTCTTCTGCAACTCCCACTTGAACATTTTGTCACCAGGGGGTTACCGGAGATCCAAAAGGAGCCACCTTGTCAGATTCCAAATTCCATGAGAAGTAGGTTCTATCCAACTGGTTAAGATTAAAGCTAATTGAGTGACTACAAATTGTAGCTGTTCATTGGTGAGTATCCATTTCCATCAAGAAAGATTTTCATCCTCATCATTGGAAGGTAGCTCAACTTCATGAAATCTGTACACATATAGCAATTAGTTTGTTTACATTGAACATATTTCTTTTACTCATTATGTCTCACATAATGGCTTTCTTTGACTACTATGATTCCAACCAATCAGTTATCCAATGTTCTAAATTCTGAAGCATGAATACAATATTGGTATACACTTCCGATACAGGAATATGACAAAATCTACAAAAATAGTAGATGGTTACCACCATGATACCTCAATAATAGAATGTTATTCTAAGTTTATTAATGTGTTAAATACATTAGTTATAAAGCAACCAGCAAGTTATTAGCAGCTAGTCTGGTAATAAAGTATAAAACAGGGCAGAGTAAAACCAATTTATACTAGACCTTATCACAGTGAAACAGTAACACAATAATAGCAAAGCAACACACTAATGAGAACCAAGTAACAGAATGCAACAGCAGGCAATAACAACATCAGTAACAGAAACGAAGTTGTTTGCTCCAGTGCTATTGTTTTAAAATTGGAAAATTATACATCGAGTCCTGCAATGCTCGTATGCGTGCCCCAGGTGTATCCCCTCACATCTGAGAGATATCTGAGAATAAAAAATTATTTCCTCAATTACGGTGCATGTATAGGGCATATCAGATAGATATTCGATGTATCAGACATATCCGTCTCCAATACGATACCAATACTGTCCCATTTTCCAAATATCCATGCCTTCATTCACCCGACCAACAATAACACAGAAGATGAGTGCATGAACACAATGTTGACAACATACATCAATATTAGCCAGTGACCTTACACCAATCACATGGGAGCAAAGTGCTCCTACCAGCTAGGCCCCAAAGCTTTTCGTAGGTTAAACCCATCTGGAACAGGAAAATGCACCCTAAATGATTACAAGTAGCAGCACACTTGGCATCACTCTTCACAAAAAACAAAGCAAAAACAGCAACATTACGCGACCACACAAGAATGAACGGTAAAATTAGCCTTCCACTTCTCCTTGGGAACACAACCAACATTTCCTCAAGCAATAATTCAACGGAATCCAACCACTTCATAAAGGGAAAGATGGAACCCAAACCCCACCACCATATCATTTAGGAGCTTTACCACCACAGCTAGAACATAAAACCAAATGACTTTGCAAGTTTCGATTGAAGGAAACAAATTCAGAGGTTTAAAGCTATTTCAACGTACAACAATCTCTAATTTAGGAATCTATTTAGTAGGTGCCTTATAAACAGTTTTATCACATTTACAAAGAGAAAACAAAAAAAAAAATAGCGAAAGTGCCTTATAACAAATCAACTTGTGAAAGTGCATAGATTTCCTTCGGACAAAAACTCGCCATAAACTTCTACATATAGCACATGCTCCAACTAGCACAAGATGGTACCAATTCTATGCTAGAGTCCCGATATTTGCAGTTTCAATTTATATCAACATTGAACACAGAAGAATCATTTAACACTTTGGATTGTTACTAAATTTACTCGACTAGCCCTAGACACTGGAATCTTCTAACAATTTATATTTAAGGGTGTTAATTAAGCCTAGCCTTCCGCACTTGGATAGGTTCAAGCTTGGCTCGACCTATTCAAGAGATGTTCAAACTTGGCTTGAGCTCAGTTACCGAGCCCAAACTTCTGTTCAAGCTTGGCTCCACCTGAACTTGAGCAGAGCTCGAGCCAAAAATGAGCCTTTCAAAGAAAAAATCATAATTCATAATCTCCAAATACCCCATCCAAAATTTTCATATAAAATACCACAAAGCAATATTTAAACACAAATCTGAGCCAAAAGAACCTCTATATCGCAGCCAAATATACAAAATAATTATAATATCCAATTATCTATTCTATATTACTTCTAATTGTCAATATATGTGAAAAGCTTTTGATTGACTAATTTATCCTTCAAAAATTACACAAAGGCAACAATGTCCTTGATGTTCTTTAATTAAGGAAATATTTTGATTTCCGAATTTGTCCTTAACTCATATTTATGTAGAATTCAATTCAATGATCTTTGAAATTCCATCTATGCAATCATTCCAAATTTTGCTTATTTAGACCAAAGAGGCTAATACTTATTCATGAATTCCATTCTACGATCTTTGAAATTCCATCTTTGTAACCGTCCCAAAATGTGCCTATTTAAATTGGAGGTGCTGATACCTAAGAGGTCTATATCATTTTGTCTATCTATTTTCTCCTTTCTTGAACTAAATTTCTCATCTTTCCTCACTATTTTTCTTATAGACTACTCCACTTTCATTTTGGAATGTTTTCTTCATACACAATGGAAATTAATCATCAGATTATAATCTATTCTTAGAGTGGCTACTACGAGCATGGAGTTGAGGAATTGTGTGATAGATTTAGTTCTTGAGGATTTGGATGCGAGAAGTCTATAGACAATTAATTGTTTGTGTTGATCAACATGGTTGAAGCAATATTAGTTGGTTTGATTTGATTAATCTTTCTTGAGTTGCCGAAGAAAAAAATATATATAAAAAAAGGAGCTGCTAGAAATTTTGTCCTGTTATAGAGATATGTACAAGTTTCACATTGTAGTTTGGGTTCAATATCAAGCATTTTTTAATTTGATTGCCTGTGTTGGTTTTTTAGGACTTTGTGTTTGTTAATGAATTTTTTGTGAAAGAAAAAAAAATTCTAGCAATGTATCACAAGTTAACTATGGCAACAGATTAAAACTCGATTCCAATCCACAGACATTTCATTTTAGTTGCCAATTTGGAAGAAAAAATATATGACTCCAAGCATTAGTCCAAGCCCATTTTGATCTCCTTGTGCAAACATCCAGACTAACAAAGGTTAGTTTGATTCCATAAAAGGTATTCTTTAATCCTTCCTTGAAATTTCCTAAGAAATTTGGGTGCATTTTTTTTTTTAATTTTAACTATAATTGTCAAATTGTATATTAGAAGGTGTATCGTTTTTCAAAAATAATGTATCGTAAGATATGATACAATTTTAAATAATTATTAATAAAAGGGCAAAATCCAGTTTACCCCATGGTAATTTGGTCATTTTACACATCACCTCCTTGTGGTTCAAAAATCAGCATATAGCCCCCTTGTATTTTTAGACTAAATTGCGACTGTTACTATTTTTGTCAAAAATAACATAAATTAAAACACGTGCAAGATTTGAAAGTGTGGATGTAAAAAAATTAAGTCAAAGTCAAAACTCAATCTAAAAGTCCAAATATATCCTTGTGATCTTTGAAAAAGATATTTTTTTATCTTCTACATTTTACTGCTAGAAAAAAAAATTCCTCATTTCTGATTTCCCTTTCCCCTTTTTCCATCTCTGTGCCTCTCCAGCTCTCGCCTCCTCTCTCTCTCTCTCGTAATTTTACTTATGGTTTTAGGTGGGGATGGTGGGATTTTCCAGTGGGTTTAGGCGTAGGTTTTGGGGCTGTTGGGGGTGGATTTTTAGGACTGTTGGGAGTGGATTTTCGAGGGTTTGAGGTGAGTTTTTAGGGAGTGTTGGGTGGGTCTCAAGGGGGTGTTGGGAGTGAGTTTTCGGTGGGGTTTGGGGGTGTTGGGTTGTTGTTGGTGGGGGTGGGTTTTCAGTATGGGTGGTTGGTGGTGGGTGGGGGATTGCAAGGGGTTTGTGGTGGGGTTAGGTGGTGTTGGGAGTGGGGATTCCAAGGGGCGTTGGGGTTGGTTTTCCGTGGGGTTTGGGGGTGGGGGTTTTGGTGGTGTTGGGTTGTTACTGGTGGGGGTGGGTTTTTGGTATGCACTTTAGTCCAGATTTGCATATTTCTTTGATTGATCAGTGAATTCCTTTCTCAATATGTCTAGATCGAGCATTAGCTTCCGTGCATTTCTCTCCCACATCTTAGCTTCTGAACGAAGCTCTTCAATGGTGTCTTATGCTGCTTCCAGTATGTTTTTGGAAGAACCAGCATTTGTCAGGGATGATGTAGCAATAACATGTGAAGAACTTTGCCCAAACTCTATTTCTTGATTCTGCAAATCATACCGAAAACCCACCCCAATCATGTTTTTTATTTTTGTTTTCATAATTTTTTAAATATAAATAATTATCAAACATGTTTTATATTTTTTAATTTTTATCACAAAAAAATATATATTAGTTTTTGTGAACAATTGTGATTTAGTGGTGGGGGCCAATGACTAGTAATTCAGTTTGTGATTTATTAGTGATGGCCAATGACTAGTGATTTAGTTGAATGGAAGGTGAAGATGGAGTGGGGTCGGAGAAGATGTGGTGGTAAAGTTTATTCTGATTTTAAGAAGGGCAAGATGACCTTTTGCCACTGCCGTTTAACGGTGTTAGCTATGCGCTTTAGTCCAAAAACACAAGGGGTTATGTGCTGATTTTTGAACCACGAGGAGGTGATGTGCAAAATGATCAAACCACAAGGGAGTAAACTAGATTTTGCCCTTAATAAAATATATATACCTTTGCAAAAAAGTCATAAGACTCATAAAACTATAACATTTTATTAATATTCCACAAACTATTCAAATTCTCAACATAATTTACTAATATTAAAATACAAAGTTCCCCACATAGTTCACTAATTCAAACTTCTAACACCCAAGAGACCTCTAATCCAAACTTCTAACACCCAAGAGACCTCTAATCCAAGAAGGCAGTAGCAGATCCAGAGGACTGAGAAGGCAATTGTACATGGTCTTCGTCGAGGCCGTGGATGACTGTGGATGACTTCGTCGATGAAGAAAAGAGAGAAGACAAACATTTATTTCTGTTTGCAAACCCTAGCCACTTGTCGGTGAAGAAAAGAGAGCCTTTATTTTTTTTTTAAACCCTACCCATTAAAATGACGTCATTTCACTGGTTATAGGGATAAAAAAATCAGTCTTTGTTGAAACGACGTCATTCAGCAAAAAAAAAAAAATATTAAATACAGACTTCGCGTGTCATGTGTATCGAACGATACGTATCCTATCGTAAGTACTGTATAGTGTATTAGACGATAAGATGCAAAAACGATATAAAGACCCGATTCGTATCATTTTCACTGTGTATTGTGATGTATCACACGATATTAATAACTATAATTTTAACACCAGCTAAGAAAAAAAATTGAAAGTTGTTCTTTTATATCGTGATTTGAAATGAATCTTGGGTGTGGGTGATGTTAATATAAGGTTATTCGCAAAAAATTGGTAGTGTTTGACATGTGAATAAGAATTGTTCATTAGGCGACATGGTCCTGATTAAAAGAAATAATCATAAGACGAAAAAGTGCAAATCTCGTTCTTTTTACATGAATTATAGGATGAAAATATGCTATTTATAATCAAGTTTTGATTACATCTAATTATTTTACAAGATTTCTAAGGTTGGTCAAACAATGAATTGCACAATGAGTTATAGGGTATAAATCTAAGCAATTTGGGTGTGCCCAATGATAAAAAGTATGCCCTTTGCTTTGACTTTATTAGTTAGAATTGTTTCTTTTGATAGGGTAAGGCTAATGAAAACTTTCTTTCTTAAAGGTTTGTGATTTTTCATTAGGAGACATCATATCTAAGTACCGATAAAAAAAAATTAAAGACATGGTATCTAAGCGAGTTGGGTGTGTAGAATGATAAAAATAACATACGTGTTCATGTTCAGTAAGTAGAATATGCTTGCTATTTTCACGATTGTATGCTTTATTCAAGAGTGAAATTGTATATTGTTTATTAAGTTTTTAAAATTATGTTTACATCCTATGATTCGCTTTTACTTTGAGTGAATAGTTGGGGTTAATTTTGGTAAGATGACTCATGAGTGAGTTTATGTTGGTGTTATATTATAACTAGATTAGTTAGTAGGGTGATTTAGGAGCAAAGAAAACTATATTTGTGTGAGGCATTCTTATGAGTGAACTTTAATTTTTGCTGCAAAACTAGACATTTTTTTGACCAATTCATGAAGTTATAAGATTGGAGGGTAAAACATAACATGGTACCTTGTATGCTTTCCAGGATCTTACTTTTCTATTCAATTTTTGTTGTTTGATAAAAACCAAAAGTAGAGAAACAAACACATGGCCCTCAAAATTTGAACAGATAAACCTACAAAGTTATATACTACAAAATAAAAAATCAAAATTAAAACTATAGTTCAAAATAGTTCACGTGAAACACATGTGTACATCGACTAGTACATATAAATACGTATATATTGGTATTAGTATTTTAGACTAATGATGTCTATCCTAGGTTTTTGATTAGGGAAACGATGGTGGTGAGCAAGGAGAGAGATCTAAACAATGGAATATATATATATATATATATATATATATATATATATATAAGAACTTGGAAAGAAAAGTTGGTTTGCATCATAAGAGAGAGAGAGAAAGAGAGAGTGTGTGTGTGTGTGAAACCCCCACATGAATGGGCAATTGGCATTGACAGTGGCAGTGGTAGATAAGGACTAGTGTTTTTGAAATGGGTTCTAAATTTCTTAGTTTTACAAAAGTATGCTTGGTGTTCTTAGTAATTTACAAGTATGCTTTATATAAGTCTTAAAAAATGTGTTGGCTCGTAAATAGCTTGGCTCTACTCGGATACAAAACAAGCTTAAAAAATTATAATGTTCGGCTCATTTGATAATATATCAACGAGCTTGAATGAGCCAAAAATGAGTCAAGCCCAAGTCGAGCCCCAGCTGGAATTGTTTATCAACCCTATTCACATCACCCCATAAAGGTCTAATCTCTTAGAAAGAAAGCCCATTAACAATTGATGTGTTCTAGACACTCTATTAAGTAAATAAATAAAGAAAACCCTCTGCCACTTTCTTTTTTGACCAAAGATTTATTTTCCAAACTTTGGTTCGCAAGGTTTCATACTAGATTTCACCATCCAAGCCTACAATATTACCATCCTTATAAGGCCACTAGCAAAATTCGACAACTTTTCCACAATGTCCACTTAAGGATGCATAGTCAAACACGAAAACTCATAACAATAGTCTACTACAAACATTACTAACACAATTCAAACACTTTTTGCCCTTATTGCCCACTTGCACATACATCCCTACCAACAACAAACCAATATCTCCTAGGTTATCTCTGTTAACCCAAGAATATCACTTAAGCTCCATTCTCCACACATCAATTTGCTTGAAATATATCACATTATGTTCTCTTCTATCATAACTTTAACATCTCTATTCTCTCTTCTTTTTTCATTTTGGCCTCCTTGCTCGAGTCTATTAGTTAGCATAGAATATAAGCTTCTATTCAACAAGCAACTGAGATATCTAGTGCCGATTTATCTTCCAGATCTCTGGTAACCTTGTCTCATTTTAATGCTCAAACGTCAGAATTTCATCAACATAAACACTACTTCCACTCCTCAAAAACACTACAACTCATGATCCCTACTTCCTTTTTCTTTGTACATATACATGAACATCTGTTACCAAGTGTCATCCTCATATCAGTTTAACACTTGATCCTAAGCTTTATTTTTTGAGCACCTGCTACCAAAATGATACAATCCAGTATATAATTCTAAGGTTTACCATGACAAATCACCCACCGCATTCATGTCTCTGTTCAGCTACCATTAGAAAGTGCTTTTCAATAGGTCAATACGTATTTAACCAACAAAAATTAAAGAAATCTTTGTCAATTTAGATTACCTTTCTTTTCCTAACTTCCTGCCTATCTTCTCTAAATCTCCGGTTGCTGACATAGCCTGAATGCATACCAACATCCAAACATGTACCAGGACAAAAGCATACCTGGTTCAATACACACATACATACAAAAATACCAGTATATGTGTGTGCAGCTCTTCTTCATTTTTCCTTTAACTCATTTCACCCTTGATCTTAGGCCCAGCGTAACTATCTGCACCGATTCCATACACAATCCCTTGTTTTCCATACAGAATTTGAACATGTGTTATTGGACTAAATAAGTAATAACACCCACTCATGACAACAGAGATATCCATGCACAATAACATGGAGTAAATACGTATGCTTGGCACTTCATCCAAAAAGAAATACGAAAGCCATGCGTTTGCTCTTAGCTGCCAGCTGATATAGTTAAACTAGTAATCATTCGAAATAAGATATCCTTCGTAAATTCAACAACACCAACCTGTTTGTCTCCACACCAGTCTATAATTCATTACTCAAATACTTCCTCAAATAATACCAAAAGCCAACAAAAATTTCAATAAGGCATTCTAGGCCAACAAAAAAAAAAAGGCAAAAACAATGAGAACCCATATAGGTCCATCATGGAAAACAAAACCAATTAAAATTTTCAGCAACACCACAACACATACACACACACAAAGGAGAATAATAAAAGTGAAACTAAATAACTAATCGATTATTTCAGTTTTGCAAAATCAAATAGCGATAGATTAGGAAGACTATACCATCATCCGCTAGAGCTGGGCCGAGACCCACTAGAACCGGGCCGTCTCATCTCCATCAGATCAGATTCACCTCCTCTCATCCTCTCATACCCACCTCCTGATTGCGGCCTCCCATCTTCCCCGTACCCATTTGGAGACGACCTGAAATACCCCTGACGATGCCCACCCAACTCCCTAGTCCGCATCCCAGGACCAGGCTTCTGAAAATCCGGCCCGGGTTTCTCTTCCCGGCCAACGAAACCCTGTCTAAGATGCGGCGGCACAAACCGGTCCGTCTTCGGCAACGGCGATGATAAAGGCGATATCTCCTTATCCGGCTTCGGAGACGGTAAAGGAGAAGAAAGAGATGGTCCGGTGCCGGTCCGGCCTAACGGGCGGAGAGAGATAGAGTCCGGTTCGACTCGGGTGACCGGTTCAGACCTGGGTTGATCTGGGATCGGAGGAACTGGGTTTTGTTGGGGTGCTGATGGGTTAGAAGGGGTTGGGTGGGTGATGGGTTTGGGTGTGGGGCGGCTCAGAACAAGCATGTGGCCATGGATGCGAGAGTTTGAGAGGATGGTTTTATTGGGATTGGAGAAAGATGATGAAGCTGATTGAGAAGGCTGAGGTCTAGTGGAATTGTTTGTGATCTTTTTCTCGTAGATGTCGTTGAAGTTGAGCGAGGTGTATTTGTTGCTTCTTGCCATCCACCACCAGCACAGCCACAGGCGACACCTTGAGCGAGAGAGAGAGAGAGAGAGAGAGAGAGAGAGGCTTTGGAGTTTGGAGTGCCTTTTGGTTTTGTGGATGGTTACGTTTTAGATCTTGGCCCGTCAGTATAGGGGGACATTGCGTGGTGGCGTTGTGGGAATTGGATGCTAGCGTGGCGGAATCTGAGTCGTTGATTCAATTCAGAAAACAGCCAATGCCCTATAGTTTCTAATAATTGCATGAGAGACGCTCCTGATTTTGAAATTACATTACACCCCGGCAATAATTTCTGACAATTGTAGATTTTTCTGTGGGCATCGGCCTGGGCCGCGGACCTATCTGACGTTTGTATTTGGTGGTGTGGTGATCCAAGTCATAAGCTATTGGATTATTCGTGGGTCTCCCACATGGCAGAATAAGCTGGCCCATGGACCCCTGGGTTGTCTGGCTTTTTTTTGAAATGAAAAAGCTTAAACTTAGATTCAGACATTCAGTGTCAACTTCTTTTCCGTTGTTACATCAGTTGTTTATTTTGACATTACCCCTTGCATCACCCTTATTTCTTGGGTGCACACAGGTATTTCTTTTTATTTTTATTTTTTTCCCTTGGGGAAAGTTTAGAACAGAGTAAAGAAGTTAAAGGAAAACTAACAGAAGTTAAATGCTAAGCTAACTGATTTCTATTCTATCCTGGTTCACATCTTTGTGCACAGAATATGGGAAGTTGTCCCTGTGGAGTTTGCCTCTGCGCTTTGTCTTTAAACCCCATCTTGCAAGTTCATGTGCTGCACCATTTCCGTTCCGGTATGTGTGAACTATGCTCCAATCAGGATGCATTTTGAGCATGACAGCAATAACAATTGTTTAATGTATGAACTTTCAGGTCTTGGATAATTTGTCAGCTTGGTTAGGGTGCTTTAATGTGATTTAGCATGGCAGCATTAACAAATGTTTGGGAGTCGATCTCGATGGTGACATAGATCCAATTCTCTTTTGCAGCCCAAGTAATAACAGCATTCTTGATTGCAATTTGCCTTTGCTATGAGTGGATTTGGGATTGGCTCCATTCTCCCACAATTTCTCCAATCTCCTGTCTTGCCAGGATTGCTGTACAAGCAGAATCATTTCCCACAGCTGCATCAACATTTATTTTCATCCCTCCATCCAATTTGGTAGCTTAATCTTAGGTCAAATTGACTTAAGCATCAAAGTACTTCCTACCGACTCAACTCTAATTTTATGAAAGCTCATTCGTCTTTCAACAATAGGGGGCGCCATATTGTTTGTTGAAGCTAAATTCAGATTCGCTTTACTCCCAAACCATTTATAAGGATGAAGATTTTCGCTCGTACACTCTTAAAGAGTCAAATTTCGATCTAGATTAGATTTGATTCTGATTAGTCAGTTATAGATTGTTATTTTGATCGAATATTCAAATTCAAATCCTTAACATCATATTTCATGAAATTGAACTTGAAAATATAAATATTTGATTTGAATTACATACACATATAATAGAATCGACTGATATTCGTTGAAATTCAAATTCAATTTATTGACATCCAACGATAATTGATTTACTTGGACCAAATTTTCGATTTTAATGAATTTTAAATTGTCCCATGCATTAGAAGAACTAGTGCATCTGAACTAATTTTGTGGAGCCCAAATTATGATTCAGAAAGTAATATTTCGATACTTTATCTTCATTTTTCATACAATACAAATGTGGAATGTGTTATATTTTCTTGTTTTACCTTATTTTATTATTTCTATTACATTTTATCGTCATACAGTTATGGATTGAACTGCCATTAAGTTTTTAGCAGTACTGCAGAGATTTCTGTTAAAGAGATTTTTGCAGCTATGATCAAGTTGTTGGTGAGGAAACTCGGGCTCAAGTCACTGATCCGTAGAGACTATTTATGATCACTAAATTTTTTTGCTATGCATTTGAGGGCAACAAAAAATTCAAGAAGCCACCTACACCAAGGTGTTGTTTGGATGGATAGGTTTATAAATTTTTAACCTTTAATTCTAACTAGTAGTTGCATGTGAATCATTTTAATTATGAAATAGTATATATTCAAATTATGTACCATTTTTGCCAAAAGTCATCGTATTTATAGTACATCTAAAAAATCATCATTTTCCTTAAAACTTTAGTTATAATGTTCATTTATCAAGATCCACCTTTTGTTTAGTTTTACCCAAATCACCACTTCCTTTGGTAAAATTTTGGTCTTATGATGCAGTTATTAGGCTTCAAAAGAAAGCAAGGATCAAGATTTTTAAGAAGTATATGGACACTACAATATAAACTTGTATTGTACGTGATGAACTTGACATGCTGCATGCATTATTGTATACAAAATCAAGAGAGGCAACAACTAATGCATGCACAGTGTATAATATAGTGGGTCATTGATCTAAATATTTTTCAAAGTCTCATCAATCCACCCCAATTTGTTTCTTGGCTCTTCATCGTCAAAAAAAGAGTCACCAAAGCTCATCCCATAAATAGATCACCATATTCATCACTTCAGTCATCAATTACAAGCATCCTCAAGATCTTGCTAATATTGTGGAGCAATATATTAGTTTAGTACTATTGTCGATATTTGAATAAGAATTTCTCAAAAATCCTTTTGTTTGTGGTAAAAAGAGAATCTTAATCACGCATGATAGAATTCTATAATTATTGGTTTTTCTCACCTTACAAAATCCCCTAATTTCTTTTGGGTAAATTACCAAGTCCAATTATTATGCAAAGCCTTTATGAGTTTATGGATTTTTAATTAATAGAAAATTTAAGTAAAACAATAATATTATTAGTCTCAACAATTATATACTCTTGAATAGTGCAAGATAGTCATTTGCCAAGTTTTCAAAGTTTTTAATTGTAGATACGACCTAAAGTAGATTTGGGCGGGTCATCAAATGAGTATTGGGCGCGTACCTGAAATTGATGAGTGATTTGAACACTATTTGAAATTGAAAAATTTTCTTTCAATTATAGGCACGATCAAAAAAGTATTTGATCAAAATTCGAGAGTAATGAAAAATATTGATGACCAAAATGTTTTTGGCATGGTTAAGTCATTTTCGTAAGACTATCTGATTGATGTTCAAATGTCTACCCCACATTATTTTCAAATATTCAATTCTCAAGTTCGTTATTTTGTTTGTATTAGAGAACTCTATTGGAAAACTAAATAAAAAGTAATAGATTCCTAAAGATATTACATGCCAAGTAAATAAAAGGTTTTAAAGATGGACTAAATGACTTTGACCTTGCTAATGATAGAAAAAGTTAACTAGTATAGTCACAAAGAAAATACAAATTTAATCATTAATTGTAACTTACATCTCTATTGACTATTGTAGAGCCCCAAACATTATTAAGAAAGACCAAGAATACATATCAAAATGGGAACAAGAGACATGAGCCCTTATTTCAACTCATATCTCTTTATCTGCTTAGTAGGTAACCGCATAATTCTCACCAACCTGCTTGTAAATCTACACCATCAACAAACACCGCAAAATAGGAAAAAAAAGTTGAAATACTAGCAAACAATAATAAGTCCAAAGAACCACATGATTAGAACTAAAACAACATACACATATTGTATAGAGAGGGACATAATAGGTCTTAGTATTCCATGAGATGAAAAAAAGAAATTAGAAGGGCTTGACTTCGAGTATAAAAGTTGCAAAATGAACCAAATAACACACGAATTCTTTTACCCCATAGAATGAGATCAACGATCAAAAGCAAAAAAAAATGAACTTTGAGTAGAACGTTAATTCATTAAGGCTTCCAATTTAAAGTGCCGCTAGTGACTTCTTTGGACTTTCTAATTTCCAGAGAGAGAGAGAGTAAATGGACTCCCCAACAATTTAAAAGAAGAAAAGGAAAAGGCCAAGACTGACTTCAATCCAATACCCAAGTGACCTTTAGTTTACACAGTATTCATAACTATGAATTTACTACATTAAAATTTTGACTTTTTAAAATTGTTGAAGGGTAAATTTGAAAATTAATTTTTTTTCACTTTAGCTGCCTTTTAATAGTAGTATAGATATTATAGATTAATGTGTTGAGCTGATCAAAACTCTCTCTTTGATCCCAAATGTGACAGGCCAGATAATTGAAACTCACTTAAGATAGTAGCATACAAACACATACATGCAGACACTTGATGCTTCTAGATCTAGAATACTAAGAAACACAAAACATCCAAATAATAGAATGTGATCAGCCTTGTGCATTATGAAAAGCCTCTCCTTTCCACCAATTGCCTTCAAAACAAACCCACTTAATCTATCTATATAACAACTCTTTCAGTCCCATCATACTTTCATAAAATAGACCAACTTATAATCCAATATACCCAATTGGTTTTAACTCCAACTTCGAAGAGATGGCTTGCCAAGACTCACAACATTATGTCCATCTCAAAAGCCATAAAGGATAAGAGTGATGGTGATCACACTACTTCAAACCCGATTGATGTGACATCTCAAAAATTGGAGTTCTTAATTTAATAAAATTTGGGCAGAGTCTCCTTTGTACGGGAAGTTCTACCCAAAACACAACATCAAACAATCACATGACCCATCTGAGGTCCAATATACAATATTGACCACACTGAGTCTATTTAAAAGTAAATATTGACCACACCGGATCTATTTAAAGTAAATATTGACCACATCGGGTCTATTTAACAATAAACATATAATAACATGCAAAATTTCATCAAAATAGTCCAAAAACTAACTTAGTGAATGTTTTACTAAAACATAGTTTTTCACAATAAAACTCTATATATACAAGTTCCATTATAAGTAATTACATATAATTACATGTCTAAAAACAAAATTTTTACAAAACTTGAAAACAAAAGCCACATTCCGGCTTTCTTCATCCACGGGTCTCGGATTGGGAGCCTTTCACCGGTGTGTATCCTGCACCTGAAATGTTTCCCGTATAGGATAAGCGAACGCTCAGTAGAGTTATTCATATAGAGGCTACTCCCCACCTAAGT